GAACACGGTGTTGAAACGGAGAACAAAGGAACACCTAACCGGTAGCAAAGAACACTATGGTAAGTCTTACCATTCATAGTCTGACCCAAACCCGATATCGGGACCGTCTGCAACCAGGACGAAGAATGATCCCCCTGCTGGGACTTCCATAAGGCTACCTGACGCGGAGTTAAGGAGAAAGTGGAATCCACATATGCAGTTACCTTCGTGAAATATATATCTGCCAACTTTATCATGAGTCTGGGGGCAGCGATCTCGCTAGGGTTACTCATAAGGTCTGTCTCCACAGCTCTGTTAAAAAGTCTAAGAGTACCATCGAAGGCCGGTCCCGGACCAACAATACCAGAATTATGAAGAAGCGTAGCCTGAAGACCAGAAGACTGTAGACGCGATGCAAGAAAGCATAATGTCGAACATCACCCGCCGAATAGACACCCAAACCACCATAAGAAAAAGGTAAGGTGGCAAGTCGTCATTGCCAATCACCAAAACTAGGCCCCGAAGCTGTTACAATGCGCTCCAAAGAAGCCCGAAGGGCCATGTCAAAAGAAACCTGTGCTGTTTCAAAAAGACTTGGAGGACAAGTGTGCATAGCAAAATAGAGTTTTTAAACCTTAGTACACGCACGAAGAAGCAACAACTCGCATTGGGGATCATCGAGCTTAGCAACAACATCCATTAGCACAACGGTCTTCGACATTCTCTGTGAAACAAGCTCACCACAGAAAGAGGAATCATACTTTATTATTATTATTATTATTATTATTATTATTATTATTATTATTATTATTATTATTATTATTATTATTATATCCTCCAAACAATTACATATATCTCCACTAACCATACTTTATAAATTCATCCTATGATATCTTGCATATAAATTTCGCAAACCTTTATACAAAGTCTAATATTGTACTTCCTCTGTTTTTTATTACTTGACCTATTGCAAATAGGCACAAGTTTTAAGGCATAATTGAAAAGACCAAATTACCCATCTACTCCTACCCTTCCCTTCCAACCCACACATATGGTACTCCAGTAATCCAGTATAATACTACTACATCTCACCACCACTTGTAATCCTCCATATTTTTAAATATATTATAAATAAAATTATATATTATTTATAATATTTATTTGTATTTTTCCGCAATTTAATTTCAAAAGTTTTAATTTTTAATTTGGGTCGAAAATTATTTTGGTACAAATTTTTATACATACCTTCATTCTATAATTCATGTCCAAATAAACAAAGCTAAACTCATCTTACTTACTTAATTGGCCCATTAATTTTATGAGGCTCAATCTTACTATTTACCCTACACCACTCTCTCTCCTATAAATACCCCATACATACCCAAATTTTTCCCACACTAAAGGTTAGTCTTATTTTCTCTCCACTTTATTTTATTTTCTTATTTTCCTTTTATTTTTATTTTTATTTTTCTTTTTCCTTTTATTTTCTTTTCTTTTCCCTTTTTCTTTTCTTTTCCTTTCTTTCTTTTTTTTCCTCCTCTTTACGTGAGTTTTGACTCACCACCAACTGCTGCCGCCTGCTGCCCGCCACCACCGCCGGTCGCCGGTCACCGCCCACCACCGCCGGAGACCCACCAGCGGCCCAGCCGTGGCCCACCATGGTTGTCCCTCTCTCTCCCCCTTTGTTTTATTTCATTTATGCTTAATGTTTGATTAATTAGTTTTGGGTTTTGATTTTATAGTATAAAGTTTATATTTTTAGTATCAAAATCATGTTTTTGATGTTTTAAACTAATAATTTCAGATTATAATGGTTGTTATAATTTTCAGATTTTATAATTTTAAAACCTAGGGTTTCAATTTATTTAAATTGGGATTTTAGGGTTCTTATGACTAATTAAATTGGGGCTTTTGTTCCTATTGGATTTCTATTGATTAATTAAGCATAAAAACATGTTTTTAATGAAGTTTTAAGAACTTTTAATCAAATTTATATTGCTGAAAATTTGTTTAAGTGTTAATTTGTGATTATTGGTTGTTTTCTAGGAGGTGATTATTCTCTAGGAGACTTTTAAGTGATTAAAAGTGGCACAAAGGATTGTTTACACGAGGTACGTACATGTCTACTTCGTTGTAAGTAGTATCATTGTTTAGGTACCAAAGAAAAGAACTTAGTTTCATGATTAGAGAACACTTGGATGAAAATTATTTGGTTATACATTTAATTAATTCATGTGCTTATGTTTATGAGACATGTTTTGGTGAATTGATTATGTTTGTATGGAATTATGGATGCAAACATGTTGAATTATATTGGATTAATTGTTTGTATGGAATGTTGATACAAGCATATTTTTATTGGATCGGTTTGTTAACCACATTTGGATTATTAAAGGATTGAAATTGAATTGTTTAAGTGGAGTGAATTTATTAATTATTCCACAATGTTGTTATTTATTTTATTACTCAATCATGAATTGTTAGTATGTTGAGTAAAGGTGGATTAAGCCGAAATGGCTAGGTGTGTTGACTATGTTCAATAATTTGGATAATTTGGAAGTTTAATGAAATTAAAAGTCAATTTGTGATGTGATCACCCTTGTTCTAAATAAGATTAAAAGTAAATTGATGTATGATATTTATGTATGGTCTATTTGATTGAGTCGGCTATTAATTAAAATTGTAATCACGTAAAGTGAAACATGGATGAGCAATAAAACTCTGGAAAGCGTGCATTTCTAGAGTATTGACAATTATGGGTTGGGGTACACGGTGGTAGCCCGTGGCTTTTCCGAAGTTTGTTTGATCAACATGTCCTCTTTTCTTTTGGTATTTACATTTTATTTTATAATGATAGTTAGATGGGATCCTAGACTAACTTTGTGAGAATGGAGTCGCGCCCATTCTTGCATCGCGCTAAACTTTTATTTTAAATGGTCATTTGGGACCAAAATGATTTGATGGATTGGACAACCTCGTCTATTGCTTACTCCAAATTAAATTAATTAAATTAAATATAAAGAGTCAAGTGTTTGGAATTGATTAGCAAGTATGTTGAGTCGATTGAATTGTTTAAGTGTGGAGTCTTGTTTAATGAATTCGAGTTGTATATTTATTTACTTTAACTAAATTAGCATGCTAGGTTTTGTGCGTTGTAGCTTGTATGTACTCAGCTTTGCTGATTGCGTGCTTTTGTGTGTTTTCTTTTGGTCATGGCCTTCGCCTTTCAATGACCCTGTGATGATCCAATTATTACACTTGTATTATTGGGGAGCAATATTGCACAGGTTAGCTTGATGATGTGAAATTCGGGGATTTGACATACGCATTGTCAAGGGATTGGTGTGATTGAGAGTATTCGTTCTTTGTGATGAACTTATTTATGTTTTACTACTTTAATTATGTTTTGGGACTTTGATTATTGGTTTGGTTTTAAATAAGGGCATTTATGGTTCCAATTTGTAAGCTTTGAGTTATTGGGTTTCTAAATTATATTATTTTAATATTTAAGTTGGATTTCCGCTGCAATACTTTGATAAAGCCTTAACGTTTTAACACGGGGCGATAACATGTCAATGGTTCTCCTCTATTTTTATTTAAAGTAAGTGGTTTATAAAAGGGAGAATTATTGGGGTGTTACACCACTTCACCCAAATGCTTTCCTTCACCACCATAACTGCCTACGATGCCGCACCACAACCACTGCTTCACCACAAATAATCTTCTTCACCACTCTCGTCCAGGCCACCACCACCCCCTTCTTTAATTAAAAAAAAGTACCTTCTTCATCACCATCGTGCAAAACCACAATTGAAATAGAGGAACAGGAGGAGAGAGAAAATAACCACCACCGTCACATACATGAGCAATTTTTTAAGAAATTGAAAGATTTGAGGGTCAAATTTGGTTGTGGTGGTTATAGATTGTACATACCCGTACTACAACCACCAAATTAAAGACAAGAAAAGAGATGAAGAGAAAGGAAATATCCATACTCCAACTACCGTCGCCGGAGCAACTTTTAAGAAATTGAGACCCAAAACCGAGGTTGTGAAGGTTGAAATTGGGTTTGTTTTAGATATAGACTTTATGGTCAAAATCGAGGCCTCGATTTTGGACTTTGGTAAACTTTGAGCACTTCGACAATGGTGGAAACGGCGCGGAGGTGAAGAGACTGAGAGAGAGTGTGATGGGAGAAAGGTAGAGGGCATCGTCGATGTAGAGGAGAGATAAGGACGGTGGTTGATGTGTCAAAAAAAAGTGAGGTGGTGGTTGTGGTGGCTGCCATGGATAAAGGGAGGATGTGGTGTTGGTAATCACTAATGAACTATGGGGTTGACTGAGGTGAAAGAGGAAGAGGGAAAGGTTAAAGGGTAGTTCTCTATTATGTTAAAATGGTCATGAGGGTATTTAAGTAATATTGTAGTATTACATTTGCCATAAAAGAAAACAGTTCAAGTAAAAAGAAACTTACCAAAAAGGAATACAGGTCAAGTAATAAAGAAAGGAAGAAGTAATTATTATGAAACGGAAGAAATACTATTTTATATTTCTTTTGTTTCTGTATAGTGCAACACTTCCATTCTACTTTACATTGTAATTAATGCCTCGGTTTTTGTGCTCGAAATCTTCTCTATTTGTGTGCAAAAATTGCTCATATAAATAATACAAAGTTTCATATTAATAACACATTTTATTTTTATTTTAACTTTAGTCCTTTTATAATCGTACATGCACTCCCCATTATTAATATTGGAATCGAATGAAGGTCAATATAGGCAAACACAAACTCATGGCTAAACTCTTATCATCATCCCCGTCCCCGTCTATAAATGGTTCAAGACCATATGTTAGGCAACAATTATGACTCATTGAAGGTAATCGGATTAGATCAATGCCATTTTTATGGTTGCATATCTTCAAATTGTCTCTAAAACCAGTGGCGGATCCAGGAATTGGACCTAGGGGGTTCGAACTTTATCAAACACCCGATATCCAAATGCACGGATTTAAATCGGATATTCAAGTATAAAATAGAGTGTTTTGATAAATACCAATACACAAGTAAACAACAAAATAAGTCCAAATTTGAATAAAATTGTAAAATTTAATAATCCGATACAACAATACATAACTTCAATTAAATATCAAAATACAACTCATAAAATAGATGTAAAAAATGACTCGATGTAATCTTCATCCTCTATGTCTTCACTAATAGGTTTAGAGCAAGTTTGGAGAGGAAAAGTTTGATGATTTTGAGATTTGTCCCAAAAATGCTCCAAACTTTTCATGGTCACACACTAGTACACTATAAAAATTTAAATAAAATTAATTAGTACTGCATCTACTGCACATTATTAATTCATAATTCATTTAACAATCAAGTATTCAAGTGAATCAACATATTAGCAATTGAGAAACTCAAAAACAGATTGAAAAAAAAATACGTTAACACTTAAATACTTAATAGAAAACACTCAAAGCAGTACAATTTATAATTTTGAACAAGTACAAATAAACAAATTACAAAGCAAATTAAAAAATTTAAGAAATTGTTTGTTTGTTTGTTGTCGGTTTTCTTTCTTTGTTTCTTCTTTATTTTGGAATTGTTCCTCTTTCGAAAAAAAATGAAAAGAAAAAAGTCAAAAACTGTGATTCAGTGGGAGAAAGTTACCTGGAGTTCGACGCAGGCTAGCAGCAGATCGTCGGCGTCGCCCTCGTGGCCTCGTCCGTGAGTAGACTGCAGTGGTGTGACTGGGTGTGGCGGCCAGAAAAGTGAGAAAAGAATCAAAAGATAGAGAAAGAAAGTTAGGGTTTTAGCTCGGAAGTTACAGGGAAAAGAAATGAGAAAAAAGAAAAAGAAAAAAAAATATATACAATTGCGCCCTAGGAGAGTCGAACCCGAGATTTGCTGACCAATTTGAGAGATACTTAACCAACTGAGCTCACACCTAACATAGTATATGTTTGCTACAAATATTTTATTTATAGGTTTTCTGTTTTTTAAATAACATTCCTATTTTTTTTCCCGGATCTAACGGGGTTCAGTTGAACTCCCCTGAACCCCCGCTGGATCCGCCACTGCCTAAAACCTACACATACGCCTTACAAGATCACACGTGCACATTTTCGTATAGACAATCCGACCCCTTCAACAATACACTTATCAAAAGGTATAAAAATGTTCACTAACTACATATCTCCTCATTGTGTGGCAGTTTCTTATGTGGACTAAAAGCATATGCTTACATTTCATGATTTGACTACCTCATGTGTTTTTCTTTGAATTTAAAATAAATTAGAATAAAACCCCTAAAGAGTAGGATAAAGTTTTGATCCCTATATTGCCAACCAATCAAGGTTCCTAATCTCCACAAAAGAATAGGCAAAAAGGGAAAGAATCAAAGGTAAAGAGAAGAACCAAAGATAAATGTTTTAGGTGTGTTAGTTGGTAATTAAGGATATGTGTGAGTTGGCATTGTCAATCTCTTTCTGACTTATGTCCCAAAGTGGAGCAATAAGGAAAGAATCGTAAGGGTAAAACGACAAACAGATTCTTTGACCCACAAAAAGATAAGGGACAAAAGTTGTGACAAATTTAATTTCATGGTACTTGAATTCAAAGTTCAAACATTATTGAAGCTTATTTAGAATTTATTTTATTTCGCCCCCTTCCTAATAATGTTGATTGGAGCTAATGAGATCTTGTGTAAACATTTTAACCATTTAAAATTACTTGATTGCAATTATTGACAAATTATTTTAAAAAATTATGAATAGCACTATAATTTTCAATGCATGCATGCGTGACAAATAAACAAATTACAATAATTTGAGAAATAAATGTCGCTTTAAAGCCATAATAATTATGGGTAATGATATTTGTAGCCCTTAATGATATGTATAAGCATTAAATATACTTCCTAAAATGGAATTAAGTTAGGAATTCATGACCAAATCACGAGCAAATCAGTGTAATAATTGTTAATTTATCCTTAACATTTCCTTTTTTAGCTTCTTATACATAGCCCTTAGGGCTATGTTTATCATTTTTCAATAATTAAATGCATCTATATTTTTCACTGTATTTTATTGGTTCAATAGAACTCATTGATTATTCTAATAATTCCCTTCTCTACCTTATTAAAATTACTCCGTAGAAGATAACTTTTAGGAATAATGTGCTACCAACTATACCCTCAAAAATATGTGTAAAAATGTGTATTTACTTTTTTACCCTCATTAATATGTTTAATTACTCTCATTAATATATTCAATGTTTTTTTTTTATCATTAAACATATCATCAATTAATTCAAGGTTTTTTTTTTTAAAAAAAAAAAACTTGTAATGCTTTTTATTTTTTTTTTGTTGAATAAAAAATCTTTAAATCCTTATACTTCATATGTTATTATTATTATTTAGAAAGAAAAAAAAATGTATGTACGAAGAGATTGTTTATTACTAAGAGACTGTTTATTTTTACTTATTCGTGTTTACTCTTCTTATTTACAATCTTGTCGTCCTTTAATTGCAAGTATTGTTAAGCTTTATTAGCTTTTAAAATTTACATTATTTGGTGGCATATAAACAACGTTATAAAATATGAATGGAGTTCGTATTAAATAGTGATATTTGAACTAATGTTACCAATAGGTATAAAGAACTTAAAAATCCTAAAAACAAGGGAAATCGATAACCGAAAAAAACACACACACACACACAAATAAAAATAAAAATAATAAAATACTGGTATTACTTATGGAGAGAATTTAAGAGGAAAAATATAACTATTTGGTTATTGCTTTAATATTAGATATAGTTATAAATATTAGATGGTTGTTTAACATTAATGAACTTACATTATTAAATTTTTAGCTAAAACAAACATTTCACATATTATTACTACGTATGACCAAAGCTCACAAAAAATTCATTTGAAGAAAAATACATTGGTATTATTGAAACATGGAAATTGAATAAGAGTTTTAAACTAACAATTGCTTAAGATATGAAGGGATGCAAATTAATTAAAATATTATTTAATAATAATTTTGACATAACACTTTTAAACTTTTGAGGGTTAAAATATAATTGTCATAAAAGATTTTGGTGGCTTTCTTATACTTCTACAAAGCCACCACATAGACACATAAAACAAATAATACATATCAAAACTATTAGGTCTACCACTTAAACGAAATATGTAAATACACGCCAATATAAGTTGTCTATAAGAGCTAGTTTCTTCGCGCGCATTGCGTCCGTAGGCGACCATGGCCTAGTTACAGTTAAATGTAAAAATAAGTTTGTTGTATATATATAAAAACGATAAATCTAAAAAAAAGATTATTGCCTTTCTCCCTGTTTGATTAGTCAAGTATGGGATTTTCTGTTTTAGTTAAAATGATGCAATTATCCATCTAAACATTGAGATTAACTTAAACTGATAATTGATCTACTAGTATTTTAGTTAATAGGAGTATCATACAGCTATTATGTGAATGCCACAGTTTATGTGGGGCCCATGATAACATTGAAACCTTATCATGAATTTATGTTCTAAAAGAAATACACTTTAAGGGTAATAATTTAAGGGATTTTTCCTAAAAAGAGAGAAAAATATTCTTCAACTTTTTATAGTTGATTAATTTAGTGTACAGTGTACCACGAGAAATATTCAACTAGTACTATCCGGTAGTTAGAGGTGTCAATTCGGTTAAACAGTTTGGGTTTGGGTTGGGTTTATCAGTTTCGGGTTATAACGAGTCGGTTTATAACGGATTGAAATAATAAGCGGGTCGGTTTGGGTCGGTTTTGAAAATTATCGGGTCAGTTCGGTTTGGTTTTTTAAATTGCAGTTTCTATTCGGATCGGGTCCTTATCGGGTCGGGTTCTAGTCGGTTCGGGTCATAATCAATTTGGGTTGAACCGGGTCGGTTTGAAAATGGGTTTAGCCCATTTAATGTGGGTTTCGGTTAAAAACAGTTCGGGTCTTAATCAGGACGGGTCGTAATTGGTTCGGGTCATAATCAGTTTGGGTTTAACTGGGTCGGTTCGAAAATGGGTTTCGGTTCAAAATAGATCGGGTGAAATCGGGTCCAACCATTATTGTTTCGGTTATAATCGGTTTAGATTGAACTTGGTTGGTTTGAAAACGAGTTTACCCAATTTGAAACGGGTTTCTAATCAAAATCATATCTAAAATTGAGTCGGATGATTATCGAGTCGAATTAGTCAGATAATGGGTAGGAACGAGTCATGTTATAATCAAGTCAAGTCATAAATAAATTGGGTTTATCGAGTAGTGGGTTGAAACAGATTAGATCATAAATATATTGGGTAACAGGTTGTAAATGACTCAGTCATAACGGGTTACAGGTTTTAAACGGTTTGGTCATAACGGGCTACGGGTCGTAAACGGTTCGGTCACAACGGGTTACGGATTATAACCGGTTCGGTCACAACGGGTTACGGGTTGGAACGATTTAGGTTTATCGGATTTTTATTGGGTTTTAACGGTTTTCGGTTTAAAACGGGTTGGGTTACTATCGGGTTTAAACGTAATCGGTTTGGGTTACTTTCAGTTTTGGGTTGTAACGGTTTGGCTTGATAACGGGTCGGGTTGGTAACGGTTTGCACAAATTCGGTTTAGTTCCGTTTCGGTTTGGAAAAAATTGGGTCGGGTCAGTTTTCGGTTTCTAAAAAACAGGTTTTAAACAGTTCAGTTCCTTTTCGGATCGGTTCGAAACAGTTGGGTTTAACGGATCGGGTCAGAAACTGACAGCTCTACCGGTAGTACAATTTATTATCCTTTGAACCAACAAAGAGCTAACTTAGGTTTCGACACTTCCTTGATTTAGTCGCACGTGACGCACGAACTGACGACCCAACATTATAAACTATATTTGCACGTGACCAATGCGTGACTAATGACGTTTCAAGTGTTTCAATGTATGTGTAAATATAATATTTTAATTATTAATAAAATTAACGTTAGATAGCTTCAAATGTGCTACTAGTTGATAAGCATGGTCAAAGTCTCAAAGACATGGTTGCTAAACTAATTCCTATTATATTATTGCCTACTAGTTGATAACACCCACATTAATCCCAAATTTCATCACATACATAGATGATTTGATTTTAAGTAATAATAAAACCTCATTTCATTTGGATCATTATGAAGACAAAGGACTTGTAACAATGTGATATTTAGGATCAATAAGTATAACTTTTTAAAAAAAAACTAGGATCAATAAGTACGAAATTTGAATTGGAGATTGAATTGGTGTATTGGATCGTATCGTGATACAATCAAATTAAACTAATTACACTAGTGCCCCAATTTCGTCATTGAGTGCATGATCCATATTTACTACATCATGTCATCTTTTTATGTTTCAACCGAGTGTAATCACAATCATAAAAAGTAAAAATAAAAATAAAAAGATCAAATAGAAATTATTAGGTACACATGTGAGTATTTATGTCCCACATTGCATTGAAAGATCAATGAAGTATAAGACTTCTATTTAATAACCTAAATGGACTAATTATACAAAGTACATACTATCTTATTGTATGTGTTGATTAATTTTAATATATAATGTCTCACTTAATTAGATTATGTTTGAGGGGTTTTTTCCCTTCTTGTCTCTCCATGTATAACAATTTGAATCTAAGTAAGGCGGAATACTCTAACTATTACATATTTATTTTATGATGAAACTTCAATTGAGTTATATTCGTCGACTTTTCTCTCTTTCTTATTTTTCCTTGACCTCCATCGAACATTAAAATTATAACATATTCATTCATCGAATTTGGCTTAAGATTATGTCTAGGGGAAAGAAATTAGCATATCCCAAGTGATCTAAATTGCTTTACTTAAAGGGAAGAACATTAGATTTCCATTCAATTGGGCATCGAAGAAGACCCAACTAATATTGCCACGTCTTAAATCAATTTAAGTATAATATTAAAAAGCTTGTTTTTGCGTGGTAAAAGAGAGAAGAATACCCTAGAAATCAATTAGATCATGGTTTAATTGATTGCTTCGTGATGCTAATGGGATATAGTATTAGATGGTAGGACAGTTATTTCATTAATTAATTACAACGGCTATGGTAGCTCAGCTTGTGCCTTTATAATCTTATTAAGATATAATTAATTTTCTATTTTAAATGTCAATTTTTTGTGTGGTTAAGGATTAGGCAACGTAACATGCTAATTAGGATATGAGTTTTAAAGTAAGGGGGCTTTAAGTGGACTATATATAGTTAAGATTAGAATAATACGACGCATTAGATATTGTAAAGCTCGTGTTATCTATAATCGCACTCATTCACCACCAAATACGCCAAAAAAGGAAATTACATGTGGTCACTTAGAAAAGTGAAATATTCAAGAAATTTGGGTGGACCACTTTTAAGATTATTAAATTAATATTAGAACAACTTTTATGTTAAGGTCTAAGGTTTTAATGAAATTATTAATATATGCTTCAAGGTGTGGA